TTGATGTAAACAGATGTATAAAAAGAGATAAATTCGGGTTTACAATGGTGAATTTCTCTCGATTAATTCACACGGGTCAACGTTTGATGGATGAACCATATGTATTTTCTTCTCAAGTGAAACAAGTATTTTATTGTCACGATCCAATGGATGACGGTTGGTATGTTGTGCTCCGAAATACTCCCAGAGACTTGATAGACATCGGGGATGGAAGTAGAGATGACATTGAAACAAGATCAGAAAGTTTACCTCTACTACCACAAAACTTAGATGAAACTATAAGTAATACAACACAATTTCAATGGGTTCGGGAGGATGTTGATGAAGATATTTATGGCAACTGACATTATATAAGACTTTTGTACGATTTTATATCTTCATTTATTTATTTATAATGTTATAACCTTTAACATGTTATCTTTCAATATATTCATTAATTAATTCATTTTTTATTTTTCATGTTTGTTTATTATAGATATCATGTCGAGGAGAAAAATAAATTATTTGCGGGTTGTTCGAGCTTTTGAAGACCATGAAGAAAGAAATAACGAGGAATCGAATGCACCTGAGTCTTCCGAAGTTCCGGAATCTATTGAAGAAGACGTAGAAATTCAAAGTATTCTTCGAAACATTATTTACTACTTTGTTCATTTTCAAAACTAGCATTTAATAATTTCTTATATAGTTGAAAATGCTGGAACGCGCAAGACTCGAGGACGTACAACTTTGAAGGAATTATACAAACTTCCTCCTGGGTATCGTGTCAAAGTTTCAAGAAACGATGCCGGTCAACCTATTGGCCCAGAATCACGTCTTCTAGCAGGTTACTTAGGCATAGTTGGACGTAATATGGATCTGTTACCGATCAATTACGAGTCATGGCACGAAATTCATAGTAACAAAAATCAAGCGTTGGATTTTGTTAAGGTAATAATGTCATTATAATACATACTCTATAGAAATTCAATACTAATTGATACTTACGGTGCACACTTATATGTTGTATAGGATAAATTTTCTTTAGAGGTCTCTGACAATTATGTGAAACAAACGTTAGGGAAGAGATGGAGGGATCACAATAGCTCCTTAAAGAAGAAATACTTCAAGAATGATCTCAGCCTTGAAGAGAAGTTGCAAACAGTCCCACCAGGAATGCTCAGGTACCAATGGGAAGATGCAGTCAGATTTTGGAGTTCACAAAAAGGACAGGTATGATGTATTTTTTCAGAAATATTTGTAAAAAATTGTAAATCATTATTAAAAGTGGTTGTTTGACATTGTAGACCCGAAAGCATATTGGTGTTGCTAGCAGGAAACAACAAAAGTTTACGCATACGGCTGGATCGAAGAGTTTTGCTTGTATAGCTCATGAGGAGGTATTATAGATTATTAAAATAGATTTTTTGTATTCCATGTACATACTAACTCATAGTAATTATATTATGGTACATTATAGGAAAATACAACCGGTTCTAAAGTTGGTCGAATCCAACTCTTCGACATGACACATACGAAGAAGGATGGCACTCCTATGACTGTTGATGCTGCAGAAATTATGATACGTTTTTTGGGTAGATATTTTAAATTTACCTGACTTTATTTATATTTGTACCATGACATTTTTTATTTTAATTAATTATTCACTTTATTAAGAAAAATTGAGGGAGAAAAAGGTGGAGTATCATGTTACTGCTTCGAGTCAAGGCATTATTAATGATGATGACATTGAAAACCAAGCTATTAATGATGTTTTGGGTCCTGAAAGATATGATCGGGTGCGCTGTCAAGGATCATTCGTTATTCCCACCAAATATTTTGGATCCAGTTCATCACAGTACATGTCATCACAGTCTCGATCTTCCCACCAAGAAGTTTGTCGTTTAAAAGAAAAGTTGGCTGAGATGGATCAACAAATGGCTAACTTGAAAGCGGAAAATGAAGCAAGGGAAGCAGAGAGAGCAGCAGCAGAAACAACCAGAGCAGCAGCGAAAGCAGAGAAAGAAGCAGCGGTAACACAGAGAGAAGCAACATATCAGCAGAGATGTGAAAAATTTGAAAAACGACTCAATGATATGATGCTGATGATTCAGAAAACGCAACCTCAGAATCCATCATCGTAGTCTCATTTATGTTATGAGCATTCTACTGAACCTTCTATAACTGAACTTATATTACGTTAATGAAAACTTTTATTTATTATATTGGATTTGATGTTATTTGTTATGGATATAGAGTTTGATATTATTATTGTTTTGTTTGTTGGATAATGGAACAGGTTGAAAAAATAGTTTTGGGGTAATCAAGCATAATTTTTATAATTGTTAAATTCTGTGTTATTTAGCGGCGTTTGTAAAAAAAATGCCGCAATATACCATATATTTAGTGGCGTTTTTATCTTAGAAACGTCGCTATATACAGACTTGTACCGGCGTTTTTAGCAGAAACGCCGCAAAACATCAATACCTACTGCGACGTTTGTGAAAAAACGCGCAAAACATCAATACCTACTACGGCGTTTTAGCGAAAAATGCCGCTAAACATCATAACCTATTGCGGCATTTGTCTGAAAAACGTTGCTAAATATTAACACCTATTGCGACGTTTTTATGACAAACGCCGCTAAATATCAACACCTACTGCGGTGTTTTTATAACAAACGCCGCTAAATATCAACACCTATTGCGGCGTTTTTCTGAAAAACAATACTAAATATCAACACCTATTGCGGCGTTTTTATGAAAAACGCCGCTAAATATCAACACCTATTGCGACGCTTATAAACGCCGCTAAAGATAAAAAAACGCCGCAAAAAACCTGTTTTGCTGTAGTGCACCCAAATTCTTGGATAAAAAATTATTAAGAATAAATACTCAATTTCTTTAATCGGTAAATTCAATAAGACCAAAATATTCCAAAAATTAAAATTAAACAATAATTTAATCAAAAATGAGAAATATTTTTTAACATTATGCGTTTGATTTACATGTTTGATGTTCCATCTCATATTTTTATATATATTTCAACTATCGGTTAACATATAAATTCAGAAATCGTTGAAAATATGATCTGAATGAAATAATAATTATTACTTTAAAGATCTAATTAATTTTTTTGAAATAAATGATAATTAATCCCAATAATATTGATGGGATAACTTTGCTTTCATAGTATTTAAATGGAAGGAAATAAAAAAGAAGAAATATAATTTGTTGATTCTTCTTTATCATCTTTTCACCTCTAGGATCACCTTTTTTTTAACTTAGGTTTAGGAAATTTTTTTAACGAGGTTCTAAGGGTGGTGTACTTTGACTTATAATACAAAGTATCCATTTAAAAAAAATGTGGGAAACTTCACCAAAACATAAATGAATTTGGACAACCACTTCTGTTGAAAGGCGAGGCCTAAGAATTTGGTGGATTTTTCCACAAAACAAATCCAAATGAACAGCTGGAATAAAAAAGGTTCTAGAACATATAGCATACTCCAAATACGCAAATTGTGGAAGAAATCAGTGGCCATATGCTTTCCAAGTTGATGGTGGTCCCAAATTAATTAAAGCTTTTTCATTTCGTCCTTGCATGCGCCTAAATGTCATCTAGAAACAACTCTTTCATAGGTCCATATCACTCTTTTCCATTCGGCTTTTCAACATGCCAGTCGGTCCCTCCATTATACACTTCCAAGTTAGACTTTGGGTTATAAATATAGCCTTAATATTCACTGATTTTTAAATTGATATTTAGATTATATGTTTTTCAAAGTTGAGATAATACTATTATTTTTTTTATAAATTTGGGATAAATATAATATTATATCTATTAAAATATAACTCTTAACAATTTGACATTGAACATTCACATCATGACATTCCTGATACTCAAACTCGAGACCTCAATAAATAAGAACAATTCTTTTACTACTATAGTCACTTGATTCGTGCTTAATATTGTTAATTTTATATATTATTTTAATACTTTTAACAATTTTATAAATTTTGAAGTTTTTTTAAATATACATAATAACATTATTACTGATAAGTAATGCAATCTCATGTTATAATGTAATTTTATCAAAATAAAGAACGGGATTAAAATTCATCAATTCGAATTCATCAAGTAGTTTCACTAGAAAAAGAAAATATTATTTTTCTTAGATGTTTCGATTCGAATAGTCGTGTTTACAAGACGTGTGTTATCAATAAACTCATATAAATATATGTGCATTGTCAATAAACTAATATAATGATACCTTATAATCACTTGAGACTATTCACAATATCAATATATATATTCAAATATAATTTTAATATATATTTATAGGCATACATGTTAATTTAATTGGCAGGACAAAGAATGTTTTTTACCATCAGAATTCAGATTACTTAAACGTTAAATTCATTAGATTGAATTTGTATGAGAATCCAATTTCTAAGAAAAAGAAAATGGGCAAGGAAGAAGTTTAAATGAAATTCAGAAATACGTATACACTTGATAGTTTACAAACAGATTTTTCTTGACGAAACAAACATAGAATATGTTTAATTGGTTTCTCTTAATATTTCATATTTTAAAATAATACTAAATTCTGGTAATTCGATTTTTTCGCTCCTTATTTAATGATTTAATCGCATAAAATATTTTAAATTTTATGATTTAAATTTCAAATTAGTTATCAAATTTGTGATTATGTTCTGAAGTATAGTATAGTATTATTTTAATCTTTTGCCTTGGGGATATTTTTGAACTGAAAACAAAAACTCACCACAGTACAGAATTGCGTCATAATATTTAACATAAAATGAGTGTAATTGTATTGATTAAGCAAAGAAAGCATATATCTTTTAACTAATGTAAAAGTACAACGGTTTGGCAGAGTCTTCTTCGACGCATCAGGCAAATCACAAAGGCGAAAGAAAAAAGAGCGAAGCTCTTGCGTGACACAATCAATGACTCATTGACTCTGATTTCTCCCGCTAAACTCCCCGGACTGTTTTTTTTTCTCGTTAGCAGATCAGCTTTTTTTTCCCTGAGATATGTACTTAACTGATTAACTGTACAGATTTTTTGCAGGTTCAAAACCGTTGATTGGGTTCCGAATTCCAACTCGGTAGCGTTAATGAGAGAATTGACTCGTTCACCAGCACTGATCGGTCTCCCAACTCCTCCCCCCATATCCTGAAAACCTAGAATCCGAAGTCAACGGCCGTTGGCCTCTCCGGAAAACTTTACTATCATATACGGCTCGTTTTTCGGGGTCCGATAAGGTACTGTACGCCGCGTGGATCTTTATGAACTCATCTGCCGATGAATCTTTCCGATCAATTGCCGCCACGTCCGGATGACAGACCCTAGCCAATCGGCGGTACGCCGACTTGATTTCCTGATTCGAAGCACCGATGGGAATCCCTAGAACCTGGTACAGCGACGTGCAAGCTGCCATTCCTGGACGGCTCAGATAACCACTCATCGATCCTTTCTCTTGTTGAGAAGAATAAGTATTAGCGCAGGTAGCAGAGGCGTGAGGTGGCCGGACCGTGGCACGGCAAGTTGACCGCAGAGAAATTGGAGAAACTGAGAGAGAGGTTGAGATAGAGAGAGAAGGGACCATCGTATGATTCCGTTACCGGGCTTCTTTGTTTCGAGAAACAATTGGAGGGGGAGCGGACTATATATAAATTAACGATAGAGAGTTTTAAAATTATTCTTCGATTATATAGAGTTATTTTGTTTAGTCTCTCGACTATTAAAAATTACAAAATGATCACTTTAAACTCATTTTTTTTCTTGAAAAAAATTAACGATAGTATGAATTAGATATTAACTCCTTAACTAAAATATGATCAAATATAATCTCATAATCTTAAATGACTATCATATATCTCACTTAATATGTTAACGTACAACTCAGACGATCGTTAATTTTTAACGAAAAAAATACTAGTCTAAAACAAAATGAATAGTTGATGATCGTTTTGTAACTTTTAATAGTTGATGTACTCAACAAAGTAACTCTCTATAGTCAATGGATCATTTTATAACTTTTAATAATTAAGAGACTATTTTATAACTTTTAATAATTAGAATATTCAACAAAACAATATCTTATAATTAGAGACCATTTGTGTATTTACCCTATTTTTTAATTTTATTTTGACTTTTAGTATTTTAACTAGATTGAGCAAATTGATGCATTCTTCTCCGATTTCTGGTGGTCGACAGATCAAGTTTCGGTTGAGTCAGCTAGTGAAGTCTGCGGTTTCATTTTTGGGCTTATCTAGTTTTCTTCCTCTTCTTTCTTTTAGTTCCAAAGCTCCCTTAATTAATTTGAATTGAATCGTGTCGTGTCGTATATCTAATTTTAGTAGATGAATATTTTTCTAGAGATTTTTATATATATATAAGGATTCAAATATGATATCTTGTTTAAGTGATATTAAACTATTTACTATTGAAACAAATCTCATTGATTTTATGTAGATTTTATTTATTTTATATCCATTTTCTTATTATTTATATTTAGAATTTATAATTATATTTAATAAAAAAAACTTATAATTATATTTTTAAGGACAATAATTTTAAGATTTAAATTTCATCATATAAAAATAATTTAATTTTTATTAAATTAGTTTATTTGTATTGAAATAATTTTATTATTTAATATTGATATTAAAAATAAAAAAAGTTCATTTAATTATTTCAAAGATAAAAAAGAGTATTATTATCCTTAAATGACCTGAGTTCAAGTAGTTGTGTCTAAATGACGTGTATATGTTATCAATAACTAAGAAAACATATAGATAATTATTATCTTGTAATCATACCAATTCTGACTTATAATGAAATTTTAATTTAAAATTTAAAATTTTCAAATAAACAGATTCTATCTTAAACTTTGTTAACTTATAAAGATTTACATCATATTTAAAAAATTAACAAATTAAAGTTATTTTTTAATTTATATTTTTTCTTAATACAATATATGCACATCAATTAATGATATACTGAAATTTTATTGAATCTCTTAATTCTGTCATTTTCCAATGGGATACAATATTTTTTCCCTTTTATGATGGCTTATAATTTTGTTTTGTATGGCCATAAATCTAGGAGTTTTCTTTATCCATTAAATCTAGAAGTTCATATCTATTAAAATTTGGATGCGTATGCAATTGACCACAGCCTTAAAAGATTAATATTGTTTCAATAAATGGATTTTCTGTTTTTTTAATCATTCATTATAAATTGATTTCAATTTAATTGTTGGTTTTTAAATTAATTTTAGCGTTCGGTTTTTCGGGGTTTACTTTAAAAATTACCCTGCTTTATCATTTATAAAGTTTTAAAATATTTGTATATAATACCTTGAAAATATTTTTAAATACACAAAAAAAGCAGCCAATAATTCTCATAAATTTTTTGCCAATAAAATTTAAAAATATTCATAAAATAAATTTTAACTATTGTTTTAAACTTATAAATAATAAATCATTAGAAATCGAAACACTATTAATATCTGTATTGCATGAATTTAAAGTATTCCTCAATTTTGTCCATTTCTCACAACTCGCCGTCGCTCATTTCACCCCAATCGATCAATTTCTGCTACCTTCAGTAATTACAAAATTAAAGAACATGCTTCCCATTGTGCCACCTGTGCTTCTTTTGGTATTGTTTTAATATATATATCATTTTATTATATTAGGTTTCTTAAATTAGTTAATGAAATAATCTCTGTCATATATGATAATTATATGTTCATTTACTAAACAAGGTAACCAATTTTCAACTATAGCATTTGCATAGTATAATGTGTAAACACTAATTTTTTTATTATTATTATTATTATTATTATATATTATTATTATTAAATAAATATATATATATATATATACAAAGGCCCAAGATCGGGGCCTGATTACAACTCTGGCCCCACTCCCAGAAGCCCTAGGGTTTCACAACCCTAGGTTTATATCCCGGCCGCCACCTCCAAGCTTCAAGAACATCCACGCGGCGCCACCACTGCCTCCAGCTGCCTTGCCGACGTTTCAGTTCCAGATGGTCCAACCAGTTGCTGCCGACGCTGCTGCTTCCACGACGCCGGCCTCGTCGAGCTTTCCAGAAGCCAGCTGCCTCACCAAATCAGAGCTCTATGGTGAGTCACCGCCATAGCTTGGTGACTTACCAAAGATGCTACCTATGGGACCGGTCTGAGGAGTACACTGTGGTGGCTATAAAAGCCATCACTGAACCTGAAAAAAAAAGAAAAAAGAAAAAAAAAGGAAAAACAGAGAGCAACGGAGAACACGAGAGAAACGAGGACATCCAGCAAAGAAAAAAAAAGGAAGACAGAAAGCTACCAATGATCCCAATCAACGACAAACCAGTAAAAAAAGAAGAAGAAGAGAACAGAGGAACTTACTCTGTCATCGGAGAACCCCAAACATCACCGGAGAACCGAAATACCGAAGGTGAAAATCGTAGATTTACGATATATTATAGGGTTTTAGGTTAAAATAACCTTAGATCGGACCTTAAGACGTTTAGATCTACGCTTTGGGGGTGTTTTTGGTAAATTCCGGCTACCGTTTACGGTGGCCGGCGACGGTGGCCGGCGGCGGATTACGGTAGCCTATGGCTGCCGGTTTCCCTCCGGCGAGGGAAACTAGAGAGAAACCAGAGAGAGAACTCTGGTTCTCTCATTCAGAGAAAGAAAGAAAAGAAAGAAATGGGAAAGCTTGGCCCTTCGGGCCAGGCGTTTAGGTTTTATAAACCCTCCCCCGAACGACGTCGTTTTGGGGAGGGTATATGTGTAATTTAAGAAAGGGTAAACCCTTTCCGCAACCCTTATAGTTCTGTAACTTTGCAATTTAGTCACTGAAATTGACTTTTAATCATTTTAATTTAGTGTTTAAATTTTATTTTATTATATTTTAACCATTAACTGTATATATATATATTTAGGAAAATATCAAATTTAGTCCCTCATAGTTTATTAATTATTATATTAATCACGTATTAATTAATTAGGTTAAATTACATTATTAATCATTATCTTTCATAATATTTCGAATTATTATCTTTATTTTTAATACTTTATATTTAGTTTTATAATTTTTGAATTTCTTTTATTTTGATCATTATTTAATTACAATATTATTTCGTTATTACTTTTATATTTTAATTATTTCTTTAATTATTATTTTATTATTATTTTAGTCATATAAATATATATATATATATATATATATTTTAAATAATAATGTTTATTTATTTTCGATATCAAAGAAAAGGGCAGTCTTAATATAACTGGATGTCCTATTCTGGTATTTTAAATAATTAATATTATAAAAATTATAATTTAGTTTTATTTAAAATATTAAAATTTAATATATTTTTATTTATTAATATCAAAGAAGAGAGCTGTCTTAAGATACCTAGAAGCCATTTCTGATATTTTTGAATAAATAAATATCTTACTATATTAAAATAATTTTTGTCATAAAAATGTTTGTCATTTATTTATTTTTTAATATTGAAGAAAAGAGCTGTCTTAAGGCACCTAGAAGTTCTTTTCCGATATTTTTAAATATTTTTTAATTTTGAAATAATATAAATATAAATTAAATATATTTTGAATTTTTTTAATTTTTAATAATAGAGACAATTTATAATTAAAAAGTACCAATTTTGGGCGTTGTAGGGGTGCTAATCCTTCCCTAAACGTAACCGACCACGGATCCCTTTTTATAAAAAAAAAAAGAACGAATTTTTGGTTATAAACGCAGATCAGATCATTTTTTTTAATTGATGTTTTCTTAAAACTCTTTTAAAAAATAATTTTTAGGTATTCGACCTACCTGACCCAAAAGGCCGATGGTGACTCCCAAATTATTTTCAAAACCATTTATTCACATCAATTTTCTCGCCAAATAAATAATTTCGTGCATGGACGAAAACCGGTTACGACAGCTTGGCGACTCCGCTGGGGATCGGTCAAACTTTTAAAAATCAATTATAAATTGTCTCTATTAAATAAAAATTCATATATTTAATTTATAATTCTTTTATATATATATATACATATTATTTTTATAGTATTTATATATATTATTTATATTGCAAGTATTTTATTATTTATTTTTCTGTCAAAGGTATGAACATTTCTCCTCACACACAACACTTGCATTGCATAACATAAAGCTCTATAATTGAGTTTGTCCCTTTTAAGTGGGAGTGAAAGTAACGTCTTCGTGAGAATTTATTCTCCGTGTCAGACCTAGCAAGTAACTTTCGGGGTTCATATGCTCTATGTCTTCGTGAGAATTTATTCTCCGTGTCAGGTATAGAGAAATGTATCCCCTCGAATTGAACTCGATCCGTTTAAGTCTGTAATGGACTAGGATTGAGGGTTGACAGCCCAAGGGGGCATCAACAAGGACAATTCAAGTACCTTTACTCCTAGAACTGAAACTTTGCATATAATAAACCCTAGAAATTCACCTAATCTAAGACAGTACTGAACCTTTGTTCATAGGTGTACACAAAGGAGAAATAAGCTCTAGTTTTTAATTTATTATTATTTTTTCTCCCTGAATAAATGCATGCGAACTAGAAATCATGCAGTTAGGTTAAT